GTTTTTATTCCCAGTGTTTTTATTCCACTATTTTTATAGTGGAAAAAATATCAATATTCCTTAGCCATAGTTTTTCCTTTTGTAAAATGGGGATACTAATAGGAGCTATAATTTGTTGAGTGCTTCTTGCTAGATGCTTACTTATATTATCTGTGTGTTCTAAGCAGTCCTAAAACAAAGTAGGCATTGCTATCCTATTTTATAAATGAGAAAACAGGTTCGTAGAGTATTAACTCACTCAAAAGTTATGTAGAGTTTATGACAGGATCATGCTTGTCTGATTTCATGTGTTCATTCCATCATGCTATATTGTCTATTATAGGAACATTGTGAGGATCAAAGAAAATTAATGGGAAAACAAAGCCTAATTACGAATAATAAGCATACTAGTACTAACTTAGGCAAAAAATAAGGATAGAGAGCTGTCTCCTAGATTCCCAAAGGCAGGATGAGATTGGATGCAGGAACTAAAAAGCTATTTGAACTCCTAAACTGTTATTGTCTGTCTTCTGTACATCCATATCATTCTAACAGCTTTTGCTTTCCCTATCAGCTACCCCATAGCTCCAGGTGTTATATTGTAACTGTTCCAGACACATGTAGACAGAACCAACCAACCAATGGACAGGATCATCGGTACAAATGTGGCTCTTGGGGGCTTAACCCTCTGGATTAGGAGCCAAATCTTGGAGATTATGGTTCACTGGCTGCACATCACAGAAGGTGTCTTCAACAAAAACAAAATGTTCTGGAAGTTTTAAATAAATGTAAGGAATTAGTATATAATAGAAAATTATGGCTAACTTATTTAGTGTTTACTAAATGCTTCATGTCCATCTTTTTTAAACTCACAATCCTATGAGATAGTTAACCATCTCCATTGTATAAATAAGAAAATAGAAGCTCAAAGAAGGTAGGTAATTTCCCTGAAGTCTTCCTTTTTTAAGTGGCAGAATGAAGATTCAAACCTAGGTTCCTTCAGTCAACACCATGGTGTTAGGCACTGTTCTAGGCACTGGAGGTACAGCAGTGAACAAAGGGTCTGATGGTTTATCTGAAGCTCTTAACCCTGATTCTATGTAGAGACTCAGTGGATTGCCCAAGGTTACCTAGCCAGTTAATGGCAGAGCTGGAGGCACATTTTGACCACCGCTATTCTTTTCATCACACTAGCTGCTTCTCAAACAGCCTTGCCAAAAGTACCTGCTAAAATTATATAGACTGGTTAGGGGACATCCAGCCTTAGATTGCCCTGGAGACTCAATGACCAATTCTTGTTTTTGGCTCTTCTCTTGTTGTTAACCTCAGATACTCTACCAAGAAGGACCCAAAGTATGCCTTTTTCTCCCTCACATTTGAGAGCCACCCTAGCATTTTAATGAGAGTTAAGATGCAATCCCCATATTTCCAAACCCTCTCCAGAAGGCCAGTCGTATGTACTTTGAGCTGATGACTTGGTCTTCCTATGCACAAAGTAACACTTCCTGACTTGGTGTCTTATTTGGCACCTGTATATCCCTACTCACTGACTATACCTGTATAAAAGTTTGGTATTTGCTTTTCAAGCTGCCTGCTTTTTGCCATGGAGTGTTCCAGTTTCTTTCAGGGTGGGAATCTAAAAGGTGATTATAGAAATATAAAACTTATTCTCTGTAGTGGACAGTTAATTCTCCAGAAAGCTCTCTAGGCTGAAAACTTGCTTCTATAGATTTTAGGTTTCCTTCCAATGGCTAAAATTGGTTTCTATATATATAATAACAAAGCAGTGCCCTAGAAGCCATTTCAGTGCTCATTAAATGGCTATTTGTTGGAATTGTGAATCTCGGGCTTACGTCTGAAATTCTGGATCTCTGGAATCAATTGGCCAAGCTGGGATTCCTGAGGACTGAGCAAATACACATAGAGCAGGATTTCATCCTAAGTTTTCTGAGGGACCCTATCTAAAAACACCACTACTTATTGAATTACCCAGCTTCCTCTTGCAGGGAGACTCCCTATGTATACTCCTACCTCTTCAGGTCACATCATTTTCTCAGAGGGAGTGCAGCATCAAGTGGTAACCAGCACTTATGGAGCACCTCTTAGGGGCCTACTTGGGCAGTAGACATTCTAATGGAATGCTCTAAAATTGTAAGTTCTTGCACCTGCTCTCAAGTCATTTATAACCTAATTGCTGGTCTTCTTGGTATGAAAAAAGTTGTTTGCTTGTTAATAAATTCCTACCATATGACCCTGACTTGTGGTTCATTTCTATGTAACTAGAGCAAATACTAAAAAGTTTTCTCTAACGAACGAGAAAGCATGACCTGAGTTTCTACCTGCTCTGGATAGGAAATGAGTTTGCATCTAAAAATCTTGTGACTGGTTTGGAGCATTGTAAAGGTCATGGCAGCAAATACCAGAGATTGGGTTTAATGAAGAGTGATAGTGTTCTACATGCCTTTGAAGAATTAATTTTTACTCCATTATTTTGATGTGTTTGCAATAGAGTAGGTTAAGTATTGTACCGTCAATTCGTGTTAAAATCACATGAGTACAAGTCAGTGCCTTACAATGGTTAAATGGTTGCTCACTAGCCAATGGAAATAAACTGTTGGTTCCACAAAATTGCTTCACAGATTCTAAATGCTATTTCTTTGGGACTGGATTGTGTGCCCTTTAAGATAAATTCTATAATCAAGGGCATAGCCCTGAACAGATTAGAGCCCAAAGATCACTCTGAGGAGAAAAAATCAGATAGATCAGTAAAGGGCTGGGGATAGATGCCCTTGGAATAGGAATCCTCCACTCACCTTTACTTTAAATTGATGTATGGAAATAATTATATTGTAGAATGCACACATCTTAAGTCTTCAGTTTGATGTTTTGACAATTGTATACACCTGTGTGATAACACCCAAAAGAAGATACAGAACATTACCATTAACCCAGAAAGTTCTCTTGTGCATCTTTCAAATCATCCCTGCTCCCTTCCCTACTCCAATGATCATTTGCTGATTTTTATCACTAAAGATTTGTTTTGTCTGCTTTTTGACTTTATATAAATGGAATCATATATATAATATGTACTCTTTTGCATCTGGCTTTCACTTATAATGCTTTAAAGACTCATCCATATTGTTGTATGTATCAGTAAATTATTCTTTATTGCTGAGTAGTATTTCATTCTATAAATATACCCAATTTGTTTATCCAGTCTCCTATTGATGGACTTTTAGGTTGTTTCCAGTTTGGGGCAATTACGAATAAGGCAATTATGTATATTTGTATGTAAGATTTTTGTTTGTTTTTGTTTTGTGGATACATGTTTTCATTTCTCTTGGATAAATGCTTGAGTAGAAAATTGCTGAGTCATATGGTAAGTGTATGTTTAACTTTTTAAGAAACTGTCTTCCTATTTTCCAAAGTGGTTTACCATTTTGTACTCCCATCAATGATGTATGAGAGTTCCAGTTGTTCCATATCTTTGTCAATATTTACTGTTTTATATTAGCCATTTTAGCGAGTATGAAGTAACATTGCAATTTTAATTTACATTACATTTCCCTGATGATTAATGATGTTGAGCAATTTTTATATGCTTATCTTACACTTGTATATCTTTCATGAAGTGTCTTTCATGTCTTTTCTCATTTTAAAATTTGTCTTTTTATTGTGGGTTATTATTCTGTGAATTCTGGATACAAGTCCTTTGATGGATATATGTGCTATGATTTTTTTTTTTTTTTTTTGTAGACTATGGCTTATCCACTCTCTTACTGGGAGCTTTTTTTTTTTTTTTTAATAATTTTATTTATTTATTTATTTTCCCCCAAAGCCCCAGCAGATAGTTGTATGTCATAGTGGCACATTCTTCAAGTTGCTGTATGTGGGACGCGGCCTCAGCATGGCCGGAGAAGCAGTGCGTCAGTGTGCACCCAGGATCGGAACCCGGGCCGCCAGCATCGGAGCACACGCACTTAACCGCTAAGCCATGGGGCTGGCCCATTACTGGGAGCTTTTGATGAGCAGAAATTTTTATTCTTATAAAGTCCACTTTATTAATTTTTTCTTTTATGGTTTTGTGACCCCAAGGCCACAAAGAACATATTTTCTTCTAGAAGTTTTATGGTTTGGGGTTTTATGTCTATGGTGTATCATAGATGTTCTGAGCCATCTCAATGGTTTGAAGTTTTACATCTATAGTTTGGAGTTTTACATTTGGGTATATGATCCATTTCAAAATAATTTTGTGTACAGAATGAGGTTTATTTCACCATGGATATCCAGTTGTTCCAGCAACATTTGTTTAAAAAGATTTTCTTTCACGCACTACATTGACTTGGCATCTCAGATGAAAATCAACTGACCATATATGTGTGTAGTTATTTCTAGACTCTCTATTCTGTTCTCCACAATACTTCATTATTGCTCTTCATATTTTCCAGCAAATCTAAGGTTCCATCTGGTATAAATTCCCTTTAATCTGATGAACTTCCTTTAGCTCCTCTTCTATTGCAGTTTTTCTGAGATGAATTCTCTCAGCTTTTATCTATCAGAGAATATCTTTATTTTACTTTTATTTTGGGGGGGTATTTTAGTTGTATATAGAATTCTACGTTGACCTTTTATTTCTTCTTCTTTCAGTACTTTGAAGAAGTTGTTTATTTGTCTTCAGGTCTCATTGGTTTCTGGTGAGGTCATCCAACATTTTTATTTGTTTACCTGTTCATAATGTGGGTTTTTTTTGTTACGTTTACATCTGCTCTTTATCTTTGGTTTTCAGCAGATTGACTATGATATATCTAGGTATATTCTTTGTATGGAGATTACTGAACCTCTTGGATCTGTGTTGATGTTTTTCATTAATATTGAATATTTCTTGGCCATTATCTCTTCATAGATTTCTTTTGTTCCATATTCTCTTGCCTCTCCTCTCCTTCTGGGACTCCAATTACACACATATTAGATGATTTGATAGTAACCTACAGATCTCAGGTGGTTTTCCCCCAATCTTTTTGCTTTTTGTTTTCAGTTTGGATACTTTCCATTTAGCTGTCTTCAAGTTCTCTGATGCTTTCCTGTTAAACCTATCTAATGAATTCTGTATTTCTGACATCGTATTTTTTATTTCTAGAATTTCATTATGTTTGTACAGTTACCATGTTTCTGCTCAAGTTTCTCATTTCTTCATGCATGTCATCCACATTTTCCACTAGACTTTTTAGCATTTTCATCATAGTTATTTCAAAAACGCTATCTATTGATTCCAATATTTTGGCCCCCACTAGACTTTTTAGCATTTTAATCAGAGTTATTTTAAAGATCCCAACTGATAATTCAACATCTGGGTCATCTTTCATTCTGCTTCTGTTGAACTCTTCCCATTACCATGGATCTCATTTTCTTGCTTTTGCACATGTCTTGTATATCTGGTTGTATGCTGGACATTTTGTATAAAAAGCAGGAGAGACTGAAGTAAATATTACTGACCTTCAAAATGGGGCATGCCCATTTTTCTTTCAGCCACTTAAGTAGTGGCTCAGTCAATCTGATATATTTGACCTAGATCTGAGCTTTATTGCAACTTTAGTTTGATTCAGTTCACCACTAGCTTCAAATATTTTGAAGGCAGAATCAGAACTTTCCCTTCGGTAGGGCCTAGGTTTTGGGCATTGGCAAGATTCTAAAGATCTGACTTTGCTTTGTAGCCAAGCCATCAGCTTTTGGAAATGTGGGAGATCTCTTCTTTCTAGTGAAAAATGTGGACAAACCAGCCTAGCTGCCAGGTTTTTTAGTCACTGGGATAGGGAGTGGGGAAATATTTCGCTCATCTCTTGTGTGTGCCCTACCCTTAGTCTTTTGGGGAGGAATGCCCACAATGCTTGGGGATGGTCTCTCAGCTCTCCTCCTCCGCTCTTAGCCTTCAAGACTGTTTCTGATGCATTTCTCAGCATTCCTGCCTTGCCCCCTCACTTTTAAAGGGTATCTTGCACTTGGGAGGGGCTCCACTTACCTCAAGGGCAGGGGTGGGATCTGTCTCAGCTCTTCTATTATCCATCCCCCTCCCACTTTTAGTCTACTACCTCCCTGTACCTGGTTAAGATCCAAGAGGTAAGATTGGGAGGTGGCATGCCAGCCTCCATGGGGCTGTTAAAATTTTGTTAAATTTAAACTGGTTTCTCTTTACTCCCCTATGGTGGATTCCTCTTCCTAGTATAGTTCAGTATGGAATATGAGCAGCCATGGATCTCTTCTGTCCTGTAAACGACTTAGCTCTTTCTGGAGGTTGGTTCCTTTAGGTTTCTTTATGTCCTCAGCTTTCTGATGAGTTTAAAATATTTTTGATTTTCTAGCTAGTCTGGCCTTTTGTTTGTTTGCTAGGGTGGGAGCTATGTTCTCTTGTGATTTTCTACATCCAAATCAGAATTGAATTCCAGGAATGGAAGTTTAACAAATGGTTTCCTTTACATATTTTATGAACTAGTTTTTAAAGTTAAAAATACATGGATAATAAAAAGTTAAAATTTATACAATGATAAACAATGAAAAGTAAGTCACTTTCCCATTCTAGGTCCCCTAGTCCTCTCTGTTCCCTCTACAGAGACAAATAGCATTACCAGTTTCTTGCAATTTCTTCTCAAAATTCTATTTACAGGGGTTGGTTGGGTGGAGTAGTGGTTAAGTTCGCATGCTCCGCTTCGGTGGCCCGGGGTTTGCAGGTTAGGATCCCAGGAGCGGACCTACACACGACGTATCAGGCCATGCTGTGGCAGGCATCCCACATATAAAATAGAGGAAGATGGGCACAGATGTTAGCCTAGAGCCAATCTTCCTGAGCAAAAAAAGGAGGATTGGCTACAGATGTTAGTTCAGGGCTAATCTTCCTCTCACATGCACACAAATTCTATTTACAAAACAAGAATATCTCCCCCCTTATTATTTTTTTTAACACAAATAGAAGCATACTATATTTTATATACACTTTGTTTTTTCATGTAACTATTTCACCCTCTTGAAGTCTTTTACAGGCTGCATAATATGTCTTAATATGGATGCACTTTGGTTTGTTTAAATAATCCCTAATGATGGACATTTGGGTTGTTTGCAGTGTTATTTCTCACAAACAATGCAGTATATATGCCTTTGCCCACATTCGCTGTTGAGTATTTCCGTAGTATCAGGAATGACTATGTTTAAATGCTTCATGAAGGCCCATGGAGCTTTATATTATTTTAAAGTGTTTCCCAAGGTGTTGGCTGGGCTCTCGGGAGTTGGGGTTTTGGGAGGACTATATATCGTAAAAGAGGCATGAGGTGCTAGAGAGTTGCCTGGGCAGCTGGCATCAGAACAAAGCTGGCTGTAGACTGTATCAGAGTAGGAATGACACATTAAAATATTTTTAATGTAGAAACTCAATTGTAACTCCTTCTTTATACACATATTGGGGATGTTAAAAAGTTACTGAAGCCTGATTCCTCTCCTGCCTCCTCAACCCCTACCATGGGGGAAAAAAGATAAATGCTATTTTGTTTGGAATGCCTTACCCAGCTATCTGACTTGAATGATCCTCATAAGTAAGGTTACATCCAAGAAGGTTTTCTAAGGGAATGAAGACTCATGTGTTAAACACGAAATATTGTCTATGTGACTCTGAGATCTTCCTGTGAAGATGTGATGTTTTTTGAGGAGATTTTTCTAATTGCCTATCTAAAGCACATTAAGTTTGGTTGTTGCAATTTGAGAAAGCAACATGCTTTCTTATGAAAAAGGCTCTTGCACAGAAAGTGCTCTTTCTCTTAAGATCTGGTCAAAGGAGAGATTTTAAAACATATAATAATAGTAATGGCTTCTATTTATTTAATAACATAGGCATAAAGAATGTCATTTACTCCTCACAGGGCCCCTTTCAGGGAGATTTTATATATTGGGAAGCATGCTCATCAGCTTTCCACCATCTTCTTCCCTAAGGCTCCCCATCTCAGTAATTGACTGTACTATTCATCCAGTTGCTTTTAAAGTTAGAAACCTAGCAATCTTCCTGTGACATCTATCTCTCTTTCCCTCATTCTCCCATCTCCAATTCTACACCATAGGAAATTTGGTTTGCCTCCTAAAATTCTTGAGAATCCATTGACTTTTTCTCCCTCTTTTCCCACCACTCTAGTCCAAGTGAACTGTTTCATCATCTCGTTTGCAGTATCCTTTAGTCTCCCCTAGATTATCAATACTTGTCCCCCTCTCAATTCATTCTCCATTCATTAGCTAACATGAACTCTTTAAATGTTAACACTGACCATGTCACTCCTTGCTCAACTCTCTCTAGTGCCTTCCCAACGCCCTTAGAATAAAATTATTCACATGGCCTCTGTGGATCTGTACCACTAGTCTCTCCTACCTCTCCATCTATTGCAACCCACTCTCTTCCCCTGTCCTCTTTCCAGCCACACTGGTCTTGTTTTTGTGCTACAAACTGGCCAAGCTTCTTCCATCCTCAGGGCCTTTGCACAAGCTCTTCCTTTGCCTTAGAAGTCTTCCCTGGCCTGCCCACTTCCTCATCCCCCTTCCTCAAGCTAATGCCTTATCCTTTAAGTCTCATTTTTAACATCTCTTACCCAGGGAAACTTCCCCGTCCAAACAAGTCTAGATTGGATCTCCCTGTTATTTGCTCTTACTACTCTATATTTCTCCTTCTTAGCATTTACTACAATTCTAATCATATAGTTATGTTGTTCTTTTCATTTCATTTTATTTTTTTCTGTCATTGGAATAGCTAATACATCCATTTGTTAAAAAATTCAAATTGTACACAAGGTATAGAGTAAAAAATCTCTTCCCTTTCCTGTCCCTCTGGTACCCAGTTCTCCTCCTTACAAGTAAGTACTTTTAGCATTTTGAATATCCTTCCAGAAATATTTTTTGAGTATACAATCAATTATATACATAATATTCCTCTTTATTTTTGCCTTTTATTAACACAGATATTATATACATTTTTCTGCGCTTTGTTTTTATCTTAATATATCTTGGCAATTCTTCTATATCAATATGTAAACAGTTGCTTCTTTTTCATGTACCATATAGTATGGGCTTATCATAATTTCTTTAACCTCAATTATTGTGCATTTAGGTTTTTTCCAGGCTTCGGTTATTACAAACAATGCTGCAGTGAATAACTTTGTATATAACGTCATTTTCCACATTTATAGCTATAGAATAAACTCCTAGAATTGAAATAGAGTTAAAAGTTATGTGCATTTTTAATTTTGGTAGTTATTGCCGAACTGCTCTCAATGTAGGTTGTACAAATTCACATTCCCACTAGCCACAGATGAAGAATGCATGTTTACTCACAATTATGTCAATGAAAATTTTTGTTCTTGGCCAATGTAAGAGGTGGAAAGTACCTCATGGAAACTTTAATTTGCATGTTTTTTCTTGCTTCCAAAGTTATTTTCATACGTTTGAGCCATTTGTATTTCTTTAGTGAACTGTTTCTTCATAAACATTGCTTATGTAATTAGTTACTGTCTGCCTTCCTCACTATACTCTAAGATTGGTGCAGAGATCCTGTATGTTTTGTTTATCGCATAGTTCCTGGTACTGAAATGAATGAAGCTCAGAGAAATGACTGGCTCTAGTCATGCAGTAGTCAAGTCCAGAATTCATGTTTGACTCCGAAGCCCATACGTATTTCCACGATCACCCAGTGGAAAGACTAAGTATTTCATTCACCACACCGAGGGCCAGATAGGTAATGTAAAACGGCTGAAGTGTGCTGGGAAGTGAGGATTGTGGCAGAACGGCGAACAAATGTCTACCTACAGTGGCAGCCAGTTTCAGATCTATTGTACTGCAAAGCAGGAATGCAGGCTCATTGTTGGATCTTTATTTATCTCGAGGCCAGATTTCTGGCCTTATTGTGAAATCTCTTGATTTTTTAATATTTTCAATTGTGGGAGATCAAGATTTGGCCACCCTGAAATCTATCTCTTTACCTTGGTTGTTTTCTCTAGGGACATTTGACCTTCCCCACTAACTGCCTAAAGAATTTGACATGGCGGCTCCTTCCTGGAACAGATCTATCATGATGGCTGTAAAGATAATGTAGAATAAATGTTACAATAGGAAAGGCACCAACAAGCCCATCTTATCGGAAGTTCTGTCTCTCTGGCCACATTCTCTGGATGGCCCTGCGAGGAGTTGCCAGACAATCATTTACATTTATAAGGGAAATCTCCATTTGTAAAACTATCTCCCTCTCTGTTTTGGGAAGGGGGGGGGGATGGCCTCATTTCTAGAGGCTTATCAATGTGGAAGGTGAGGCCTTAAATCTGCATAATAACCTTACTCTTGTTTACTGTGCTTTAGTGGTAATCTCCCAGTAACTGACTCCTCCCACCCCCAACATCCTCCTTTGTCGTTGGCTGAACATGGTATTTAAGACAAGAATTTCTGCTATTGTGTTGAGAAACGCAGCGTCCCTGCTTTCTCCCATGTATACATGTTATTAAACTTGGTATTATTTTCTCCTGCTAACCTGTCTTATTAATTATTTGGCCAGCCATAAGAACCTTAAGGGAAAGGGCAGAGGGACATTCTTCCTCTTCGCCGACACAATCAAAACAAGACTGCGCTCAGATGCAGCCCACCGACAGCGGGTTTCCAAACTGTACATTAAAGGAGAGTGGGAGGCTGATTAGGCGACTACCGCAGCTGCATAGTGACAGCCCCGAAACGAGGTTTTTACGTAGGGCGAGAATGACGTTCTCTGCCCTAGGGTTTGGGCTTGGGGGCCGGGACTCCCGGAAGGAGGACTGAAACAAATGCAGAGAGGCGTCGGGGGGACTCCGTCAGGTCCTCCTGGTGTGGCTGGCCACTCCAGCTAGCGAGGCCCGGGGTTACTCCATCGTCCACACAATGGCGTGGGGCGGCAGGGGCTGCCCGGGAAGAAGGGAATTACTGACTCCGCATTCACTCACCGGCTCCTTTAGAGCCAAGCCGTCTGTAGCGCAGGGCCCAACCCTGTCCCGGCTTCTTCAAGACCCTCGGTCTCCCAGGCAAAGCCTTCCGCTCGGCGCTCTACTCCTCTCCCTGCTCAGGGCCCTCCCCCCTCCCCTAGTCCTATGACTTCCGTTTGCCTGGTCGGCTGGGAAACCTCTGACTTCCGGCCGCGCAGCGGTGGGCGGAGCCAAGATGGCTGAGGAGAGACTTGCGACGGTGAGCGCCGAGGTTCTCCTTAGTTTCCCGGCCGCCAGGCGGGGCAGGACAGCGCCGGGCTGGGCAGAGCAGAGCAGAGGCGAGGGAGGCTGACGGCGGCCTGTGTCCCACGCAGCTGCCCCTGGGGAAAGGCGGAGCGGGATCCGGAGTGGCTCGGGGTGGGCGGGGCGACACAGTCCGGCTCCCGGGATCTGGTCGGCCTGGGCAAGGCTGAATTCTTTGCAGCGCTGGGTTGGTGCTAGGACTGTGGTCCCTCTTGTGATGCGCTGGACGGAAAAGGGAGGTTTTCATCAGAAATGGCTCTTTAGCTCCATCTTTTCTGTCTCACGAGGTTTGGAAAGAAAAGACTACCACTTGTACAGAGACAGTTTCTGTTAATTCCCTGGAGTAGGAATTGAGTATGACAAAACCTGGAAGCTTTCGGCGTCACTGCCTTCTGCCAGTGGGCCGGGACCATGTTTTCTCTGTTGAGATTAAGTTTAGGAAAGTACTGTTTTGGGATTCAGCTGGTGTGAGTTAGGCGTTGATTCAACTCCCACAGAACTGCTAATACAAAGTAGCCCAGATGAATTCAGGATAACCCATTAGTAGTTATTTTTGAGGCGTATATTCATAATTGGATCTAATTTCTTTCAAGTTCCAAGTGTGAAACCTTGTTTTAGTATTGGGTTTCAAAGCATATTCTGTGCGTTTGTTAGAATGACTTTAGTTATTTATTCGGAATTTATTGCCCTGGAAAACAGGAGACAAAATAGCAGTCTGGCTGTTTTACAGCTTAGTTTTGGCTGTTAAGGAGCAGGGCCCGTGTTTATCTGTCAGTGGGCCTGTTTGTTTTCTGTTCTTTTTTCATTTGTACAGAAATCAAGTTAGTGTAATCAAAACACTTGAATATAGAGAAGGAGGCCCAAACCGAAGATTTCTGTTAAGCTACGAATTAAAAAAAATTGAAAAGCATGATTAGTGTTACCAGGTTTTAGATATTGGAAACATACCAAAGAAAATACTTCACCTACATATGCCTAAATGTAAGGTATAATGGTAACATGACATTGCTGCAAATACAGCTCATTCTCTAGTGCTCATTGCAGGTATAGAAAGGTGTTCATAAACAGAATGTGAACTTGATTTCTGTGATGGCGGAATTGTCCTGTACTTTTGATCTCTGATAGTGTTTGAAAGGAATGACTTTTTGTTTATATATGACTTTAGTATTTGAGCCTGAAGTTAATTATTTTCAGTATTGTCAAGTTTATTGCTAACAGTGTTATATTTATAGTAATTTCATCCTTTTAAGTTACCACTGCATGGAAATTTGAATTTCTGTCCTTTTTGGAAGTGATCTGACATCTTGTAGTAAAATTGAAAGGACCCAACAGTCCTACTCCTAGACCTGTATCCCATCGAAATAAAAGCAAAACATAAGCATGTAGTACAAGGGTATTCACTGCAGTACTGTTTATAGTGGAAAAAGCTGGAAACAAAGTGAATGCCCATTAGTAGGGTGATGGATGATTTCTGATATTTCCATACTTAGGAATGTTATGTGGCCATTAAAAAGAATGTTAGAACTATGTATGTTGACTTGGAGGGATTTCTGTGGTATACATTTAAATAAAAGCTAGATGTAGGGTGGGGTATATTGGGTGATCTTAATTTTGTGACACAAAGAAAAGGATACGTAGATCTGTAGATATAAATATATAGATGTGGAGGAGAGAAGACTAAAAGACTTAAAACTCACAGAGAGAACTGTCAACAAATGCATGAGTAAAAATGTAAGAATGTTGCAGCAAAGGCCTTGAGGTCGGGAGATAGCCCAGTAAAACAGAGTGAAACCAGCCCAATGTGGAGCACAGGAAATCTAATATGCTACCAGAACTATTTAGAATCATCTTAGTTCCTTAGGGAGGAAAACTGGGAACTGATATTTATATTTTATTTAAGAATATATTATAAATGGTTTAGAGATATTAAAAAAAAAACAAGCAAATAGCTCTGGTTTCCGTGACTTATAAAACTTTTGGTAACTGCCTAATGCCCATTATTTGACGTATTTGTATAAATACCTCTCTGTCTTCCTGTAAATTAAAAGATTAAAGCTTTCAGAACAGAAGGGAAACATTACTATTGCACTAGTTGATTTGGCTCAGATAAAGTGCCTAGGACATATCAAGTGTTACATGAATATTCGTTAGATGAATAAATGATCACAGAACTACATAAAAATGAAGAAAGAACAAAAAAAGATCCATAATGAATTTATTATACATATATCCTAGCTATACATGAGATCAAGTGGGCTAATAGAATCCTTTCCATCTCAGAATGTTCTGGAAGGTCTTTTGAAAAAGAGACTCATCAAAATATTTATTTTAATTCTACTTTGTGCAGAAAGAGGGGTTGCTGACTCATGAAGATGCTTTTTGAACGTTTCAAATTCTTTAGCTAATATATTCCCCCAAGTTAAAAAAAATCCCAGATCAAAAAACAATAGAGTTCTTTAGCATTCGTAACAGCACCTTCATTGAGGTATAATACACACACCCTAAAATTTACCCATTTTAAGTGTACAGTTTGATTAATTTTAGTAAATTTATAAAGTTGCACAACTGTCACCACAATCCACTTATGTCCGTCATTTCCAGCTGTTCCCTGTGTCCATTTGCAGCCAATCCCAACTCTAACCCCAGTCCACTGCTGATCTGCTTTCTGTCTCCATAGTTTTGGCTTTTCTGGCAATTTCCTATAATAGAGTCACAATATGTTGTCTTATGTGTCTTACTTTTACTTAGCATGTTTTTTGAAGTTCATTCATATCTCATGTAGCAGTAGTTTGTTCCTTCTTAATTTTAAGCAGTATTCCATTGTGTGAATATACACATTTTGTTTATCCACCAATTGATGAACATTTCGGTTGTTTCCTGGTTTTGGCTGTTGAGAATAATGTTATGAATTTTGGCATACAAATCTTTCCATAGATATGTTTTCATTTATCTAGGAGTGGAATTGCTGGGTTGTGTGGTAAGTGTATGTTAAAAAAAAACCTGCCAAACTCTTTTCTAGAGTGGCTATGCACCATTTTACATTCCCGTGAGCAATGCATGAGGCTTTCAGTTTTTCCACATCCTTAACGACACTTGGTATTGTCAGTCTTTTTTGTTTTCGCCATTCTAGTGGATGTGTAGTGGTGGTTATTGTGATTTTAATTTGTATTTACCTAATGAATAATGATATTGAGTATCTTTTATGTGCTTATTCATTCATAATTCTTTGGTGAAGTGTCTCTACAAATCTTTTGCCCATATTTAAATGGGTTATTTTATTATCAAGTTTTCTGTATTTGTTAAATCAAGATAATAAAATAGCTAAAAGAACAAATTATGTATTCTCTTTTATTTTGAGGATTAATTTTTTGTTGTTATGAAATATATCTTACCTCTAAAAGAACTAATAAACGGTTATATGTACATTTTAAAGAACAATGTAATGGAAACTTGTGTTCCTACATCACAAATGGGTCATTAAGAATAACTTTGCATAAGTCAGAGGGAGAAGGCCAAATACCGTATGATTTCCTTCATTAAGTAGTAGATAATAACAACAATAAACAAACACATAGGGACAGAGATTGGATTGGTGGTTACCAGAGGGGAAGGGGGGAGGGTGGAGGGTGAAAGGGATAATTGGGTACATGTGTGTGGTGATGGGTTGTAATTAGTATTTTGGTGGTGAACATGATGTAGTCCATGCAGAAATAGAAGTACAATGATGTACACCTGAAATTTTTGCAATGTTATAAACCAATGTTACTGCAATAAATGTAATTTGGAGCTTTAACAATGCTGTCAATAAAAAAAAAAAAAAAAAAAAAAAAAAAAAAAAAAGAATAACTTTGCAACCTCCTAAGTGTCTCTTCTTTACTGCATTTTCCTCCTTTCCCAGCAGAAGTCATCTCTTTCCTCAATTTCATTTTAATTATTATTTTGCTTTTCTTTATAGTTTTACCATATTTGATACCCCTAAACAATATATATATATATTTTTATTAATGTTTATTCATTTTTCAGTGCTATTTAGTATCCCATTTTAGGAAATTACTACACTTAATTTATCCATTCTACTAGATGGAGATATGGGTTATTTCTGGTTTTTTTTTCAGCTTTATTGAGGTATAATTGAGAAAGTTGTAAGATATTTAAAGTGTACAAGGTGATGACTTGATATACGTATACATTGTGAAAGGATTCCCACCATTGAGTTAATTAACACATCCATCACCCTACATATATACTTTTTTTTTTTTTTGGTGATAACGTTTAAGTTCTACTCTCTTAGCAAATTTCAACTGTACAATACAGTGTTATTAACTGTAGTCACCATGTTTTACATTAGATCCTTAGACCTTATTCATTCTGTAACTGAAAGTTTGTACCCTTTTAACCAACCTCTCCCTATTTCCCCTACCTCCCAACCCTTGGCAACCACTTTTCTACTCTCTATTTCTGTGAGTTCAACTTTTTTTCCTTCTCATTTTTAGTTATTAAAAAGAAGGCTGTGGGGCCAGCCCCGTGGCCTAGTGGTTTAGTTCGGTGCACTCTGCTTTGGTGGCCCCAGTTCAGTTCCTGGGTGTGGACCTATACCATACCACTCATGGCAGCCATGCTGTGGTGGTGTCCCACTTACAAAATAGAGGAAGATTAGCACAGATGTTAGCTTGGGGCGAATCTTCCTCAAGCAAAAAGAGGAAAATTGGCAATGGATGTTAGCTCAGGGTGAATCTTCCTTAGCGGAAAAAAAAAAAAAAAGAATGCTGCTACAAACAGGGCCAGGATTACGGTAAGGCAAGTGAGGTGCTTAGAGTGCAAAATCTAAGGAATAAGAGTGTCTCAGCCCTGGCTATGAACATTCTTACACGTAATTGTCTCCAGATCTATGATTTCTCTAGAATATTCCTAGAATGAATTGCTGGATCATGGGGTATGTACACCTTCAACTTTTATTACTAATGGGAAACGCTAAGGTGGTTGTAACAATTTATGCTTCTACCACCACTGGTTCCTGTTGCTTACATCCTTGATATTGTCATAGCTTTAAATTTTATCAATATGGTGGATATGAAATGAAGTCTTAATGTGATATTAATTTACATTTCCCTGATTATTAATGAAGTATAGCATCATTGGTTGTCTTCTTTCCTTTTCTGTGCAATGCCTGGTTCATATGTTTTGCTTATTTTTCTACTTTGCTGTTTATTTTTCATATTGATTTATAGTTATTTATAGTTTCTGACTGCTAATCCTTTGTCATTTTTTTGGTTTTGTTTTGTATTGCAGTTATCTTCTCTTAGTTTTCTATCTTCACTTTTCCTTTTTGGAAGAGAAGTTCTTAATTTTAATCTAGTTGAATATTGAGATCTTTTCTTAATTGATTTATACTTTTATATCTTGTTGAAGTAATCCTTCCCTACCCTATATTTTTTCTAAAAAGTTTTAAAATTTGCCTTTTCTGTTTAGTCTTCAATCTATTCGAATTCATTTTCGTTTCCCTGATAAAGCCTTTTCTCTTGAAGTTTATTTTGTCTAGTGTTTTTTTTTTTAATTATTTATTTGTTTATTTATTTATTTTTCCCCCAAAGCCCCAGTAGATAGTTGTATGTCATAGCTGCACATCCTTCTAGTTGCCGTATGTGGGACACGGCCTCAGCATGGCCGGAGAAGCAGTGCGTCGGTGCGCGCCCGGGGTTCCGGAGCGCGGGCACCCAACCGCTAAGCTACGGGGCTGGCCCATATTTTGTCTAGTGTTAATGTTGCTTCTTTGGTTATCTTTTTGTTTCTGTTTTCCTGATGTATCTTTTTCAATCCTTTTACTTTGTTTTTCTTTACTATTGTGTTTTAGATATGTCTTTATACACATAGCATACATCTAGATTTTTAAAAACATCCATCCTGATAATCTGTCTTAAAGATTTTTTTTTTTTTTTTAAAGATTTTATTTATTCAGTTTTTTTCCCCCCAAAGCCCCAGCAGACAGTTGTATGTCATAGGTTCACATCCTTTTAGTTGCTGTACGTGGGACTCGGCCTCACGTTGGACGGAGAAGTGGTGCCTCGGG